GGGGGGGATGACTGGGATGACTGGGATGAATTTGTTGTGTGTTAAAAGTTTGGAGAGCTGATGACGATGATAAAGGGAGCCTCTGACAGCACATCTGTATGACAGCACATCTGTATGACACTTTTGTGTTGTGTTTTAACCCATTGCAATTTTTTGGTGGCTTTTTAGGTTTTGTTTTTCTCTTTCTTCAATTTTGTGCAACATTTATTACACATTTTGCAGTTTTGAAACACCCAATTCACAGCATTTTTTGTTTGTGAAATTGAGTAATATTTTGTAAGCAATGAGCAAGAAGTTTGTTACTCTCCAGTGAAAGAACACATTTCTCCAGAACATGAATTAAGCAACAGGTTGGAAAATCAGCCAAGTTTTCAACCTGACAGCAATATTTGAGTTTATCCACTGGATCTGATGGATTTTTAATTGGTTATAGACCAGGATGAATGGTTGAAATGTCTCAACCCTTACTGGGAACCTAACTGTTTTCTGCTAGGCAGTAGCAAGTGAGAATGACGGGTAATGAAAGTGCTACAACTTAGTTTAACAGTAGCACATTGTGACCTGCAAGGGGACCAGTAGAATACATTAAATGGCAACATGTATGTTTAACATTACACACGGTCCCTTACAAATGATTGAAAATAAATAGTTCATTAGAAGGGAGAAGCCATCAAGTCAGTAAAGTGAGTCAGCTATGAAAGCTAAAGTTTGCTAATATCAGCCAATACCAGATCAAGTAAGCCTGTAGTAGCACAACCACTGGGTGTATTGAATTGCACAATGGCATGTTTCATTACTGATACATTATTTTAAATGTTACATAATAACCCTTTAATGGATAGCCGGGGAGTGGAAATAATGGGGATATTTCACACGACTGACAGTTAGCAGTCAAGTGCAGTCAGAGCACTCAGGCGCTAATTGGGTTTTTATGTGACCCAAAGTGAGATTATCTCTCTGCTCTCCGTTTTCATTACAGATCCTTCATTACACATTGCTGCCACACAACCACAGAAACTTAGAGACTTTAGGGAGAAAAAGAAGAGAGAGAAAGAAAGGACTGATTTATTGCCTTTCACTATTTCAAATAAGAGCTGTCCCGCGAGGCTAGACTGACTAAATGCTTTCTGTCCCATCACGAAACAGGGAGGAGCTGAGGTCAAGTGACTGCTGGAGAAAGTAGCAAAACACCAGCAAGACACTGACCTTTTTACTTGCTACGAAACAGACCTGAAAAGGACAGTGATTATTACATTCGTCAAACGACCAAAACGTCAATAAACACACCTTAGTCATTTCATCAAAGGCCCAAAACTGACTTATCCTTTTTATGATTTCGTATAGATCAAATAAACAGGATATGATGTATTAATTGTTAAGCTCTAGATGCGCCAGTAGGCAGTTGTTTTCGTTTTTAATCTTTGCACAGGGCCTTCCCCGTGCTTATTCTTTATGCTAAGCTAAGCTAATCGGCTGCTTGAGGTAGCTTCCTGTTGAGTGTGTCTGCTAAAGAGTCAATAAGCGTGTATTCACATAAAGTCAAACTATTCCTTGAGCCAAGTAATTACATTAATACCAAACCACAATCTTTGCCTGGCCCTGACCAAGTTTTTTATGTGCCCAAACCTAACCAAGCCTTACAGGCGCATTGTGTAACTACAGCCACCCACTCCAAGCAAACACGAGTCAGCATCTTACCTCTACTGGGTCAACACAATCGAAATTTAAAAAAAGCCAACTAACTGACAATAAAGCATGAATATGCACATTTCAACACTGTAACCTCCTCACGTTCTGTTGATAATATTAGCTAATTTTTTTAATGTTTTAAAGTAAAATCATGGCCAACTCCTACACAATGCACCTTTAACCATAGTGGTACAAGAAAAGTTGTTTTTTGCAAGTGTGACTTGCAACAGTTATGAAGGGCTCTGACAAATAATGTCATTCCAACAAAAGAGGCGTCAGATTAGAAAACAGCAGCACGTGTCGCATTGGAGGGCAATTAGAAACTCATCAGGCCAGAAACACAACTCTGATGGCTTGCTCTTTTCGCTTTGTGTTAACATATTTGTCTTAACAACTTGATAGCATAATGGTACGGGTTTTTATGGGTTTGTTTTGCAGTTTTGCTACAAAATATCTTATTTTCTTATATATTGAACATTGCTGCATTTGCAACCAGTGAACCACGAAACAGCTTTTGACTGTAACATATTTTGTCACATATAAATGTGTCTACTACAATGTCTCGATAGATCATGGACAGAAAAATGTGCTTCGTTGTTAATATTGTTCAATAAATCAAAGTCAGTGTGGGAAAATAAATATATATCTTTCCCAAAGGTCATCTTTAGGATTCATTAGAATCAGTCAACTGCTGTTATTTACCAGTCAATGGAAACTCTTTCTTAAAGTCAATGACCTATAATAGAGGGGGAGAAAATGTCTGTCCATGGGCTGATATATTTACTTTTCTGTTACTGTTTGACTCTGAAGAGAGAATCTCAAAAATGTCTGCCATTATTAGGAACAAAAGGCTCAAGGAATAGTTCAAAGTCTTAATTGAAATGTTGACCTTTATTTGCTGCTAAATAGTGGAAGTTATGCACGACAGAACGCGAAGAAGATGTTTCCTGCAAATATAAGTTTGAATATGTGTCATACAGGCTGAGATGAAAGAATTCAATCAAAAATCATCCAAAACATGTGTTCTTCCCCCGGAGTCATGGCTGTGTGTTATCAACCAGTGTGCCAGCTTGTGTCACTACTGGGAGGAAGTGCCATGAAATAAAAGGCAGAAAGATTCTGATGGTTTAAACAGTTATTTATAAGAGTATACATTGAAGTTGCACAGCTAGGGTGGCCTCTATGCCTCCCTTGTGCGTTGCTTCCAAGACCATCAGACTAGAATATGACGTCACCACCTTCCTGTGGGACACTGCTCCAAGCAGAACACTCACTCTGAACCACATGGGGTCTCTCCTGTATTTCAGACTCCAATGCACCCAGTGTGCATAGGATCATCAGTGTCTGATGGCAATCATGCAGGGGGCAAATTGCTGGGACAATTGGTTATAATTAGATGTTGTTAACAGTTATCAAGCTATTATACAATGTCAACTGGTGGGATAAACTATTTCATTAAATAAGTAATTTCTGGTGATTTAAGTCTTATCTTAAGACATCAAACTGTACTGTTAGAATGAAATACCTTGTACAATATTTGAAAAACAAATATTTGGCATATTTTATTCAATTATATTTTGGATTTAATTGGTGATATTCAATTTAATACTAATACTACTACAGTAAACAGACTTTAACTAAAAATTAAACAATAGCAGTTGGTCAGTTCTTAGATACGGACAACCCTTACAAAAGTGTATATTCCTACAAGCTCAGAAAACAACTGATATATGTCAAAAACCAATCTCACTTTTTCACTATTACAATGTTTTAACTATTGGGTGAAAAAATAAATAGTAAATGACTTTAAAATGATACCACAAAAATGTATTTTTACTTGTCATCTTAATAAAATCATATGTCGTTTTGAGAGAATTTATTCATTTCAACAACATTTTGCTTCCGGACTGACAAATGCAAGGTGTCACATGTGGAACCTTGTTCCGCTGGGGTTTGTTTCCTTACGGTGATAATTTTGCAAACACCGCTACACTTCCTGTTCGAATTGTCATCAGAGGCGAACCACAGAAGCTAAACAATTGTTTCAGCTTTTGGACAACAATTATTAATGTAGCATAAATACTGTTCAACAATAATGATTCCGTACACGGTCAACATCAAACTCGCGGCTCGGACGTTGACTGGCACTCTAAATTTGCAGAATAAAACCGCTGTAGATTGGTGAGTACTGCACCGCTTCCGCTAGCATCATTTTGTAGCTGCTTCATTTAGTCAAGACGCGCTGATTGATGATGTCAACAAACTGCTAATTACATTGTATGCGTTTCATTACATTGTTCCCCTTCACGCCGCCTGCGAAGATAGCAGTGGCAATGGAGGCCGATAATGTAGTTTTGGTTTAACAACAATACAGAGAAACATGTAACATGAGGGAATCTGGTGTCATGTGATGTGATGTGGTGTGGCAGTCTGCTGGGCCTGGTGCATGTCCTTAACCCTCATCCTCCCATAGTGATCCAGCAGGGAGCGTGGCTGCAGTGTTAGTGATAAAACTCGCTTTTATTCCTCATACTGCACATGGAGCATTTTTTTTTTTTTTTTTTTTACAGTTATTACAACTGAGACCTGTCACTGCATTAATGACCTTGAATAGAAACATTCAGTGTAACTGTTCTGGATATTATTCATGAGGTAGTAATGCTTCCTGTTATTATTCCCATGTTTTGGTTTACAGTCACACACTTCTTCCAGCTGTGCATTGCATTAGCATGTTTCACCAGGGCTCATTAATCGATATTCTGTGTGTACAAAAAAACAGCTTGACTTTATATTGGAAGTTCAAAAGTTGCTGTGAAATTGAGCTGTGATGTTTGTGCATTCGGGATTTTGATCCAGCCACATATGCGTGCAGACATTGTATGCACACTGGAGTGTGATGATAGCTGCAGACATGGAGTGGATTGGTGATCATTTGCTTCATGAGGTCTTAGGCCCAGCTCATCCTCTGTATGGTTACCCGTCATACGGAGAATCAGACTATCAAAGGGCAGCTTACCAAACTATTAAATGCTCCCGATGATTCAACTGATAACATACTTCAGATTTCCTACTATCACTTGATGTATTCATGTACTTTATTATATTTTTGTGTGTCTACGTGTGTATGAGTCGTTTTGTGTCTTACCTGGCTGCAAGATAAATTTCCCCTCGGCTTCAATTAAGTTGAAGTTGGCTCAATGACTCTCAATGGCTGAGTGACTCGCCTCTTCCTGTCATTCTCTCTGACTTTCATTCGCTGTAGGGGTTGGCAAGGGCTGATAGCTCAGGGATGTCACTCCAGTATTCTCATCATCGATCCAAAGACGTCTCAGACCATCCAGGTGTTGGAGAGGCACAAAGCCAACGTGGTTAAGGTGAGTTTCCTCAGTAAGCTGTCTTTCATCTGATCTGTTTAATTGTTTCTTCATAGCAGGGCTGTGGGTAACGATTAGTTTCATTTGTTGATGGCTCTGTTAATTATTATCTGAATTTAATTAGAAATGGTTTAGTCTATAACATGTCATAAACTTCTGAAAAATGCCCAAAACAATCTAAAATAGTTTAAAAATGTGAAAAACATACGACAATAAGTAAAATACAACAATATAGGATTAGTGAAATAATAATTAAACTAAAAGTTAAGAGAATGCCTTTGTATCTAGATACAGCCACAAACCCTCACGTATGTAAAGCTGTAACATAAAAAGGCCCCAATCAAACAGGTTAAACATGATTGGGACAAATCTGTCTAATTAATGTGTTGGCTGAAGACATTCTGTTTCGGGACACTTGTTTATCTTCTTTTTTTGCTATTTTGCTCTTCGTCAATCTCAAACCAGCTTTTTGGAAGCACAAATGTGCCGCTTCAAGTAAATTCAGCAGTACGGTTTGTAAGCTTCAGACGTCTCTAGAGCACTTACTGTATCTGTCATGCTGTGTGTCCCTTTTATATCCGTCTCTTTTGCTTTCCAGGAGCAATACAAACGCACACCTGCTGATGGAGTAATATTTCATCACCCAGTATTAACATTAGCATTGTGAAACCTTGAGCTAAGTTGTTGTCATCCCTCTCTGGCAGACACGTTCAGCTCACCGTGTAAAGGTTGCTCCTGTATTGACGGATAGTCCTCTTTAGTGTATGAGTGTGTGTGTGTGTGTGTGTGTTAGCGTGTGTATCTATATGTTCAATGTCTCCGTGTTTTGTAGAAAGGTAAATAATGGGCAATAAATTCCACGGTGATTATCAGTGCTTGGGCTCAATCCGAAGCTCTCGTTCCTCACTCCCAATCACACTTTAATCTTCTAAAGCACCGCGGCGACAGCAGCGGGCCATTCCTCACGAGCCTGACACGAGAAAAAAAAAGAAGTAGCCACAGTAAAGAGCATGCCTATTCACAGATACAAGACAAATGATTGAAAACCACCAACTTGTTCATAGAGTGTTTGTCTTTTTAAGCATAGAGCCTGTGTAAGCTGCATTTAAATTGTTGTGTGTTTCCTATAGAGTCTGCATCTTTCTCCACGAAGCCCACATTTAATTGGACCGTAGTTATTATTTATAACCCGTCAAAGCACTACTACACTACAAGACCTGCTCTGGATAGATCTACAGTTAACCGGAAGATCTTTGAACCAGCTGTTGAGACACTCAGCATGCGTTCTGTGTTTGATAGGTGAGGTGGTCGAGGGAAAACTACTACCACAACTTGAGCTCTCCCTACTGTCTGCGGCTGGCTTCGGGAGACGCCTCGGGGAAGATCATAGTGTGGGATGTGGTCAGCGGCACCGCCCATTGTGAGATCCAGGAGCACTCCAAACCTATCCAGGGTAAGAGATCCTCCCCCCCCCCCTCACCCCCCCCCCCCCGCACACCCCCCCCCCCCCCCCCCCCCCCCCCCAATTCACGTAGGCTTGGAGTGATTCCTTATCCACCAGCACTGGACAGCACTGGGATATTACACTGGTGGCAACACTGTCAGGGAGAAACGTGGATTGTTTTCATTACGATGCTCTTACCCTCATTCTCTTGTCTTTCCTCCTGGCGCTCACTACGCCTCCGTGCTCTTCATTCCCTCATCCTCCTCTCTGTGTTGCTCGTCCTCTGTCAGACCTGGAGTGGCTGTGGACTCAGGATGCGTCTCGCGATCTGCTGTTGGCCATCCACCCGCCCAACTACATCGTCCTGTGGAACGGAGACACGGGCACCAAGCTGTGGAAGAAGAGCTACGCTGAGAACATCCTCTCCTTTTCTTTCGACCCCTTTGACTCCTCCAACATGGCGTGTAGGTGAACAACACTGTCCAAAAAATACAACAACAGTGTGTCATTTTCCCCTCCCACATATATGCGTCTCTATATTCTATATTTCTATATTGTAGCCGGGTGTCTTACATTTACGATTCATCATCACTCACACATATCAGAGAGACTGCGCCAGCTCTAGAGAGATGCATGACTTTCAGTTATGCTAACCGCTGGTAGCATCACATTTTCCATACTTCTACTTTTTTTGTGAAAAGCAGAACTAAAGGGAAATTGATACTTTCTCAAGTGACAGATGCTGAGTTGCTGACTCTACAAGGACAGCTGTTACTAGCAAACGCATCTTCACAATGTTTTTAAAATGATTCTTTTCTGGGCAGTGCTGACCAGCGAAGGAATAGTCTTCATCACAGACTTTTCCCACTCCAAACCACCGGGCAACGCCGGCAAAAAGGTCTACATCGCCAGCCCCCACGCAAGCCCCGCCCACACCAAGCCTGCCCCCGCCGCCGCCGCCCCGGCCCCTACCGGCGCCAAGAAGGCCCTCAACAAGGTCAAAGTGCTCATCACCAATGAAAAGCCCACGTAAGTTGTGACGCGTGAATACGTTGATCGCACATTGAAAACCATTTCTAAAATCTATATACACTTTTATTCTCTCTGTCACTTGTGCTGCTTTTCCCCCTTTTTCTATACGTTAACTGACCCGTTGAAAGTGAACCCTGACACCTTGTCTTTTTGGGAGGAATGACATGTGGCTATTTGTCACGCCTGAGGCATCTTACAGAGGCATCTATCAGATGTGCTGTTTCTGTAAGAGGATGAAAGGACAGGCCTTGGCTGTGTGAGAATGTGAATGGGTTCTGGTTGTGCCTGAGCTTGTTTGTTCGTTCAACCATCAAGAATCGAGACTGATCGATTTGAAGTTCAAATTTCCGCTTTTCCGGGGTTAAAGCCATCATATCGATTAAGCCTCGGTCCGGTGATCAATCAAAAGCAATTTGACAGATGTGTTACGACTCATTTTTTTCAATTCTCATGAGAAGTAGTGACTAACCTCATTTTCATGCCATTAAGTGACAAACTTCTATAATCCACACTTTTCAAAGTGCTGGCAGCTTCCCTTCCTGAGCGCTTGTGACTGTCAGACGGGCTTATTTATAGCAGCATCGCCCCGGCCTGCTGTGTCCACCTACTCAACCGGCTCTATTAACACACACGCCATTAATCTTACTCGTCTCTCTAGCCTTGTCCTTTTCACTCTTTGTGTCTATGTCACACCTTCTCGTCTCATCTTTTGCGCAGTGTGTAATTGCCCCCCCCACCCCAGAGAACGCCGTCCATCAGTCTGCCTTTTTGTCCGTGTGTCTGTTTTTCGGGTGTTCATCATGTTCACCGGTACAGTATCTCTGCTCTCTGGCTCTGTGTGCCTGCGGTTGATGGATGGGTGATTTAAACAAGACTCTGCTCCCCCGGACGTGTGACTGCAGTACTATGTTACGCACATTAGTGTCTCATCCGGCATCAGGAGTCCATGATAGACATCGGCCTGTTCATTCGCAAACGCACATGAACATTGTGTCAGAAATGTAATAAATATTAATTAAATATCACTTATCCTTAGGATGTTTAGACGCTGTGGTCCAGTGTGTGGATGGCAGACTCTGCCTAAAACAATGAAACTGGTATATGTAGAGGTTCCATTTATTCTTTAGATGATAACACAATTCCATCAAAATCTTTAAAATACATATGAATATATTTCTGTTATACAAGTTATCATGCACACATCTGGTGCTCATGTGTAAGTCCACGCTAAAGCCAGCATGCTGGTATCAAGTTGTGCGTGTTTATTCTGAGTTGTCTAGACACGAGAAGCTGAAGGGACTAAATAATGTATAATAATAATAACTGTAATTGATTCGTTTGTCCTCAGGGTCATTTATGTTTATTGAACATGATTAAACGATAGAAGCCGGGGAGTTCTTTAGGAAACCTGAGATCACCTCCGGCGCTACCAAACACACCTTTGCACAACTCTCTCTGTGTGTGTGTGTGTGTGTGTGTGTGTGTGTGTGTGTGTGGGGCACGTGTCTACGTGTAATGATCCACAGACCTCTGCAACCTTCATGGCTTATTCAGAGCAAAGACGGAGTGAGATGTGAGGAGCGTGTGATGTTTCGGTAATTGTGCAGCTTAATATTTTGTCAGGGTTTGGGCTTACCCGATGTTCTCCTCTCTTTTTATGCTTTTACTCTCTGAAGTCGTTTTCTTCTTTTTTTTTTTTTTTGCTTCTTTTTTTTCTTGCATCTAAGACACAGAAGTCTCTTTCACAGTCTCTTTCTGATGTTCTGCCTTTGACTCCAGTGAGCTGGTGACAGTGTGGTTTAGCTCAGCGACTCCTAAAGGTTCTCCTTTTTAAGTCCATGTTATCTGTTGCGCCCCCCCCCCCCCCCCGAGAGGATAACGATCTCCATTGTGTTCTAAAGTTTGTCTCTCCTTTATTTGATCTCATGGGGACTTAGAGGAATGAAGCTGTAGGAATGAGTTATTGCCATGGTCCCGCTCATAAACGTTGAGAGAATCAGCCCTCTGTTCCTTCCTGATGGAAGTGCTAAACACTTATGACTGCTTTGTTGTCGCATGGATGGATCGCACCTGGCTGCTGCCATGGATGATGCTCTTTGTAATTAGTTTTTAATCGCAACAGACTTACCTCAACATTTTTACGACGCACAAAATAATAGAAGTTTTTTTTTGTGTCTGACGCTGCCGATACCTGCGTAATTCATCCGCCTCCTATCATTAGACCAAACTCACTTCTCAGTTCCTGCTCATTTGCCTGAGAGTCACAGAGGCCGCAACAGCAATAACTAATTCATTCAGCCTTCTGCACAAGACGACGGGAATAAAGATCAAGTTGATCCTCGAAATGAGACCGTTTTTTTTTTTTATTAAACTTGTTTTAAGACATTCTCATCCGTCTCTGGTGTATTTGCATATTTCATATGTGTTGATACGGCAGAGTCTCATTATATCTTTGGTGATGTGTGTGCTGAATGAGACTTATTCATTTCTAGTCATTAAAAAGTACTTTTAGCCTCTTAAAACATGTCCTGTGTGCGGTACATTGAGTTTAAAACAAGTATGCAAAACAGTGGCCAAATGTAGGAATACATTAGTTTATAGATAAATGTGCTTCGGGCTTTTATCTTACCTTTTTCCGAGTTAAAAAAACAAACAAACTCGCACTGAAATGAAGTTCCTCTTTCCTCTTTGTGTGGCGCCGTAGTGCGGAGGCGGTGACGTTGAACGACTGCCTGCAGCTGTCCTACCTGCCGTCCAAGAGGAACCACATGCTGCTGCTTTACCCCAGAGAGATCCTCATCCTGGACCTGGAGCTCAGCCAGACGGTGGGCGTGGTGGCCATCGAGCGCTCCGGCGTGCCCTTCGTTCAGGTGAGACACCGCGTTACACATACAGGCAAAATCTGTGTATTCGGGGATCTCAGTAAAGCTTGAAGTTCGTGGAGGTCGCACACCTACAAAGAGTTGCCGTTTTTGGTGGAAAGAAGGTGGCTAATTTGCCAATTTCATGAATTATTTTCAGGTCAGTGTTCGTCCTTTTTTTCTAATGTGATGGCGAGGCATTCCTGCTGTGCATTTAGAAGTTGTCTTTGCATGACAGCGACATCTTAGTTGGTGAGGAAAATGCAGGGATGGCTGTCTCACTCCAAAGTGTTTCCTACCGCCCCCCAAATGAACCCAGTGCACAATTTCTACTTTTATTGCGTTACTTGAGGGGCTTTACCTTAACCTGTTTTTACTTTATATAGATGAATCTTCCAGCAAGCCAATTCCCCCCTGCCGTGAATGATAAAGCTCTCCACTTTTTATTCACCCTCTCAGCGCTCTCCTCATCAAGGTCTGACGGCCGCACTGTGAAAAACCTCACCAGCCTCCGTATTTCTATTGTCACATTCAGCCGCCCCGGTGACCTTTTAGGTGCCGGTCCTCTTCTTTCGGAGCCTGGATTTCTAATTGGAAATTGATGAATGCTGCGGGGGTGTTGGATGGAGGATTTGTCACGGCTGCAGAGCCAGTAATGGAACAGAAACTCTCTCTTAATGTCACTCTGTTCACTCCCAGCTCTGTCTGCGAGCCAATGGCCATTATGGTGGCTTGTCATTACGCCAAGGAGGTCTCACGTGCTTCACTGCGGTGGTTCTATTCTATTTGAGCCATAATATGCCCTTGGAAATCCATAACCTTCAAAGTTCTGCCTGCATGCAGACGCGTGGACCCGCTTACTGCGCCTCAGTTCATCCCGACAGACAGTTGACATTTTCTGTGTGCGTGGAATTGTGTTCCGTTCTATTTTTTATTGCACTTCCATAAATCATACTTATTTTGTGTTGTCAGTGATCTTGTTTTAATAAATGTGCCCGTGGTTAAACGGCACAGAGGTGGAGAACAAACCTTTTGTAGTCGAGGAGTAAGCCCTGAAGTCACAGAGCAGGAGTGGAGAGGTATTACTCAGCCGCCCAGGCTCTGTCCGGCCAACGCCTCCCTCCTCTTTAAGTGTTATAAAGTGCTTGTCACACAGCCACTTTGCATGACTGATGACACAGCTTCAGCAAAAGTCCAGGCTGGAGTGTAGAAGATCCCAGAGCCAAGGAAAGACAGGGAAGTATAGACGCATCTATACTCCACACTGTTCGATTCGGCACATACACGATGTGCACAGAGTCGCCTGTTTATCAGGTTCAGTAGCTGAACATCTGAAGTGGTGCTGAGGGTTTCAAACCATTAGTTGGAAAAGAACCACAAAGGCGATGCTCAAAAAAAAAAAAAGGATAAATGGAAATTGCCATATAATTACTAAAACTGTAGGCCATAACCCAAACTATGTTCTTCTGTTTGAAATGTACATAATAAACTGAGCACTGAAGATGCTTTCATCTTAATGACGTAGCTTAGTGCAGTTCATCTTGTACACACAAGCCTCTCAACAATGGATGCCTTCTGCTTGTTTCATCCATTGAGAGCATTGAGCCGGAATAGTTTCATTATCACATGGAGTCAGTTGGTATATTAATGAGTAATATTTCTTTATACTGTCTAGAGCTGAAGTGCTCAATTGATTACTCGATTAACAGAAAACTATTTTCACAATTAATTAAGAACTTTTCAAGCAAATTCACCAAACTTTCCTCAGTTCCAGCTTCTCCAGTTTGAGCATTTGTTATTTCCTTACTGTGAATTGAATCTCTTTTTTGGTTTTGGACTGTTAATTGGAGGAAAGAAGCGATGTGAAGACGTCACTTTTCTTTGACACGTATGTGATGCAGTGCTCCCCCTGACTCTCTCTCTGTGTGTTCAGGTGATCCCCTGCGCCCAGCGGGATGCCCTCTACTGTCTCCATGAGAACGGGTGCATCACCCTCCGAGTGTGTCGCTCCACCACCACTGCAGAGGAAGCGGCAGGTATGAAACCTCTTCACGGAGACTTGCGCACACACACACACACACACACACACGTTAGCTGTACTGTACTCACTCACAAACCACTCTCACTGCTGTGATGTCCCCCCCAGTCATCCTCTATTGAGCCAAACTGCACAGCAGTCAGAGCCTGTAGCCGCTCTCTATGTTTCAGTGCATGTAGCCCCTTACTGTGTCGTTTGTCTCTGGCTTAGTGTTATAGGCCAATGGGAGTCCATTGTTGCCGAATCTCTCTCTCTCTCTCTTCCTACTCTCCTTGCTATCTCTTCCACGCTCATTTTTCTTTCTTCCTACCATTCCATTTTGTGATGTCATTTATTCCCTTATTTCCTGTCTTCTTTCCTTATCTCCTTCAATCCTTCCTCATATCTCTCTACTCTGTTCCTCTTCTTTCCTCTCACTTATTCAAAAAGATCTTCGCAGCTCTCTCAATCACACTTTCTCCCACTCTTGTCTACTTCCCCTCGTCTCTCTGCGTCTACTCCCTTGATTAATAACATCTACTCAATGTCTTCCTCCATATTTTCTCCTTCCTTTTCTCCTCCTTATTTTCTGTCCCCTTCCATTCACGCGTTCACCTGATTCCCCTTTTGTCAACTCCCCGACCCTCTAATAATATTTCTCTCCCCCCCCCCACTCCTATCTCCTTCTATGTCTCTCTCTTCTCTCTCCATCCGTCCTCCTCTCCACCAGACCCCGAGCAGAATGTGTACGAGCTCATGTACGACCTGCGTTCTCAGTGCGATGCCATCCGAGTCACCAAGACAGTCCGGCCGTATCGCATGGTTATCTGTCCCGTCAACGAAAACAACGCTGCGCTAATGGTCAGCGACGGCAGAGCCATGCTGTGGGAGCTCAAAGCCCACACCGGCAAGGCTGCCGTCAATCCCAGGTATACACACACACACGCACACACACACACACACACACACACACACACACACACACACACACACAGATAATTCTGCGAGGCTACATTACATTTTTGTGGCTGAAATAGCAGGAAGAGGTAACGGTTAAAAGTTTGAATACTTTAAAAACTGACTTTCAGCATAATCCTCTGACCTACATTTAGTCTTCTAGGTAGGGGGTGCACAGAGTTTAGCTATCAGTGATGAGCCCTGCTTCCCTTTGATGGAGCGCTCTCTCGCTGCAGTCGAGGAGACATTTGTGTATTTCTCTCTGTAGTTGGCTTCCTGTGCCAGGCAGGGAAGAGGTCTGTCTGCCTGCGAGCATTTAAAACCAGAATGTATTTTGGGCGAACAAGAGAAATCTCGGGATGAGGGGACGGCATGCTTTAGCTTTTTGACACTTTGTGATGAATGATCTTATTATAGCCTTGTTTGAATTCATTCGCTCTGCAGTCTCAGACTGGATGGGCTTTCTATTTCAGGACTACTGCAAAGATGGCAGTTGTCTTTCGCACCACGCTCGATCGATAATCCGACGCTTCCTTGTGGTTTTAACGTTCTTGTGCCCTGGTGTCCCCAAACAAACCCTATAAAGGTGGTTTGGTATACTGACACGAATAATAATTCCCGTTACGTTGTGTAGTCACGTGTGTGCCAAGCATGTAGAGATAAATTAAAAAGGAGTCGTGTAGAGTGGAACATTTCACTCTGTTCTACCTGCTCGGTCATAAGCTATAGAAGCTCCGTCACAGCAGTTATGGAAATATCCTTTACGAGCAATCATTTCTGTTTTTTTTTTTTTTTTTTTTTTTTATTAAATTCTTTTTATTGAGCTGCCTCTGATCAGTACAAGGAATCAGTAGACATGTCGTCCCCCATGAATACTGCTGTCTCCCTCTGGTTCGATCATTTATTAAAAGGTGGAACACATTTATCATTTGCACAAGCAATATTCATTTATCACTCTCCATTCTCTTGGTTTCTATAACGGCCAGGCTTTCAAAAATGTTTATGATTAATAATCTCTCTCCCCCTCTGCCAGTTCCGGCCTGACGCCGCTCTACACCCCCGTGTCATTTTGTGGAGCTCCGCTGGGTCCAAACCAGAAAAGGATTCAGGATCTCTCTCTCAACAGCATGATCGGTAATTTCACACATCGCCATCGGCACTGTCTAGCGAGCACCAGACATGTTGGGGTCTTCAACATGGCAAAATGTCCCACACAGTGGGTAGAAAGTCAAAGTTTTCACACCTGGTTGTGTCGCGCTGTGTAAACCTCATACATTGAAGTAGCAGCTACCAGTGTTTACGGGCAGGTTTGCACATCTGGATCTGGAGATTTCTCCCCTCTTTGCGGAGCTGTTTGAGCTGGGAGAGGTTTATTGGTTTTCGATGATGGACAGCAACCTTTGCTCACCGATTCTTTTATGGGCTTTAGGTCAGGGCTTTGACCTGTCCACTGCAGAACATCCGCCTTGTTCTTTGCCACTTCATGGTCTCTTTGGCCTTACCTCCGGCCCATTTTCAGTCTTTTTGCCGACCTCCTCTGGTTATTGTCATTGTTTATTTCTAATTCACATTAGAACATTTTTATTATTTGTTTTTTTGCAATTTGAAATGGCCAAGTATATTGTGTGTGTGATTACTAGGAAAAATATGTAGATTTATTGAATTTAAATTCAACATAATCTGAAAACAGGGTGTAATTATTTTCTATTCACAGCATATCATTTCTTTCTTCATCCTCCATAGAAGAATGGCTTTTATTTTTGAAAGTAAGGTGAAAACTAAAAGGAAAGGAGACATAGCTGTGTGTGTGTGTGTGTGTGTGTGTGTGTGTGTGTGTGTGTGTGTGTTCATACATCTGTGTGTGTGTGTACCTGGCCGTCTTATATCTTTTACTGTACTTCAGGTAGTTGGCTCTCTACTTTAATGTGTGACTGCTGGTTTCTCCTCTGCGCTCTACACAGGCCGGCGTTATTCCCCAGTCTGAGCGGCTCAACACAAAGAGTCCCGTGGGTGCTTGGGCCTCCTCTCTCTCTCTCTCTCTCTCTCTCTCACTCGCTGTTTACCGTCTCATCCTTTTGCTTATGATGTGTTTCCATCTCGCTCTCTCTCTTCTCACTGTTGATTTAGAACAGAGCTGCCTGTCAAAAGATGAATGTAGGTATACAATAGTAATGTGATGCAGGATTCTTTCCTTTTGTTCATTTTTGTTTTAAAACATTTGTCAGTTGTAGTCAGTAAAATTCAAACTGCCCGTGAGCTGAGGGCCTTGGGGAGGTGGAGCAGTAGTAGTTATGCTGGGATAAGGGGAGAGCTGTCTCTCCACACACACACACACACACACACACACACACACACACAGATTGGAGCCAGCTACCGCCCGTAGGAATAGCTTTGTCTGACAGTTGGTGACTAAAGCTCTTGTTATGAGCGAACGTCACTGGCCTGCAGTTTCCAACATTTTGTTGCTGGATGTTAAAATGTGATGCTGATAGGCCGACACAAGAAGAGCATCGGGGGGATAACGGCAAACTGATCATCGCTACAGGCAAGAGCTGCTGCCTGGAAAACCATATTTGCCTCCATTGCATATTTTCATTTGTGACGATCGGTTATACGTATGTTTTTATTGATGTATTGGTTTGTTTGGAGTTATGCCCTCCTCTCATTTTATTATGTCTTCAAGCTGCAATGAACGCTCACATAGAGGGACATTACATTTCCAACGGAAAGTGGACTATTATGGCGCAAGAAGTGAAAACCAAATGTATTTTTCAGCCGGTACCAATTATAACTTCAAGGCATTTGCACCAATCTGCTTTGCAGAAAATGCACAAAAGGAGAGGATCGCTCATTTAGAACGTATTTCATTTTGTCATTAACTGTCTGATTGGGAAAAGCATTGCCGTCAAATCCATCCCTCGGTAAATATAGAGTGTGTTTATGTCTTTGTAAATATTAAAGGGCCATGGGCTTGTGTTTATGGGGAAAACTGATGTCGCATTTTATGACTGCCTGATATTAGAAATATAAGAAGGCCTATCGCTTCTTCTGGGTAAAATGTTGGTCTGTGGCTTAATTGTCTCAACTCACTATAAATTCTTTCAGATCATTAACTGACTGCCCTTAATGAAATAAACAATACTGGTTGTTTTCTGCTGGCTTCAGCTGCAGTCAAATAATGTGAGCTCTTCCACTCCAGCTGAAGAACGGCTTCGGATTAGATCGGTAAAGCCAAGTTGAAAGTGTTATTTTGGGCTAATAAGCTCTGGTACAAATGGCTGTCTAGAGCTCTGGAAGAAGGAGGGAATAGAGAGATAACCGCACACTTCCCTCAACGCTACAAAAGATTAGGTTTATTCCAACATGTCCCGACTTATGCCTTCAAATGACGCCGTGTCACTGGATGACTCACACCTGCACAAAATCAGGACTCGGCGTCTGTCTTGATGTATATGCCGCCTCATCAGGAGTTGTAGCAGGAGCTGCATATCAATAGTTAATGCTGTCGGTACGTCGGGTAGCTACACGTCATACATAATTTGTCATATTGTGTTATTATGTTTTGCTTCATTTGCTCGCGTTTGATTTTTCTGACATGTTTGGTTTTTGCAAATGCGTGACCCACGTACTGTCACAGACAAATAAGCTGTTGCAGTTTTAATGAGAGATCCATACGGATGGTTGCTTCAGAGTAACCGTCTAAATCCTGTCCAGGACCCCCCCCAAACATTTACAGATCGAAACCACTCCGCACATATTATTTAAAGTCCTGTAGAACAGAATATGAAAAGTTATAGGGAACCATTCAAGTAAAGTCATGCAGACTTATTCAGCTACCAGAATTGGATCAGCTTGACTAAATTCTGTGTATGCCTAAATATTAAATTGGACTCGGTTGTATTAACACAAGCACAACATTTAAAGATGTGGACCAGGGCCAAAGGACATATGAGGACGTTCCTAATTAGAGCTTCAAAGCCATAAATTGTCGCTGTAATTTTGTCATACAGTTCACGTTGTAACACTGATTTATTGCAGATTGCATGCCCCGGTTTTAGATCCATGGAAAATAGAAGGAAAGCGGGACACTTAATGGACACTGCTCATGTTCTTGTAGCAATGTTCAGCACGCTAGATTTACTGTGTTTCATATTATTGAGTCATTAATTAAGTGTTAATTAATTGAGTGTTGTGGTTTTGACCCTCCAGGTCAGACCTTGATAGCCGGTGAGGCTCTTTCTCCATCATCCAACCAGCAGGAGGTCCAGTTGAAGTTCCTGCTGACGGGCCTGCTGTCCGGTCTGCCTCTGCCACCGTTCGCCCTCCGCATGTGTCCACCTCTTACCACCAAAAACATCAACCACTACCAACCCCTGCTGGCTATAGGTAGGTAACAATGCACACACGCTACAAAACGCACTGAACAGCAAGGCACTGCCACTGGCAGGGTGGGGGGTTCTATTCCCAAACAAATGATCTTCTCTAATAAATTCTGCATGTTCTGTGTGAAGGAGAAGTGTTTAAACACTTTTGCTGTATTCTTCTGCTGTTCTAGACCATTTCAATGGATTAAGGAAGGACGGGGATGAAGTCTTTGCTCAGCTGGTAGCCAGTCAGTAGGCTTTAGTATGTTGCTAACAGTAGCATGTCAGCACAACATTAGCCTGCATATGACCTGCTGTATTAACATATTTTAGATAATTGGAGTAAGATGTCTATAGTATGTGTCAGTAACTTCTTAAAAAAATGGGGGGATTGTCAATGAATTCATGCATTTATATTTACACAGTTGCATGAAGGGACACATTCCCATGATGATCGTGAGTTTTTTTCAAACCTGTTTTAATTTTCTCCTTTATTTTTTAGACTACTTCATTACTGATTAAAGGGACTGTTCACCCTCATACCTGTTGCCCTATTAATGAATCGAGATGCGAGTGAGCCAGTGTTGGAGATATTGGCCGTAAAGATGTCTGCCTTGTCTCCATTATAATGGAATTATAACTCAGCCAAAAACATACATTTGACAAACTCAACAGCAAATGTCTCTTTTAGGAAATTATGACCCGGTTACTCAGAGCGGGTTGGTTGGGTATATTTCTGCCATAGTTGTAAATTACCCCACGTAGGTTTTAATAAAAAAGCTGCTTTAAATGTTGGCTTTTAATATTCTCTTTGTCGTCCAATTAATGCAAGCTATTGAGGTTGCAGAAAAGTATTCTTTTGGAGATGCAAAGTGTTCCTCGAACTTGCCGACTCTTCTGTTAAACCATCTTGACACATTGCAAATTCTCATCTTTGAGTTTAAAAACGTTGTGATTCCTCTAATATAATGCAAACATCAGAATGTCAGAATATGCAAATCATTTTTTGAATTTGACTCTTGAAGACAGAAAGTCAGTAAGTAACAGTCCATTAAATCTGACTGTGCGGCCTCAAACGATACAAAAGGCGTCGACCTAATCTGAGATATCGGCCTCCGCTATTACTCCCCAAAGGCCGCTGCCAGACGGGAGAGAGAGGACATTTGTTTTAGATTAGTATAGCCATTTTCTTCAAAAGCTACTCTATCTTCTCCACAGTAATGATGCATAACATTAGAAAAGTTTCAATTTGAATGGGAAATTAAGAGCAGAATTGTGTCTGTCAGTCCATGTGTGTGTGTGTGTGTGTGCGTGTGTGTGTGTGTGTGTGTGTGTGTGTGTGTGTAAGTAAATATCTGTGTGCGCACACTCGTGTACGCGTACGTACTGCTGTTCTCTGCCCGAGGCAGCAAACCTTCAGTTTAGTTGTCGAGCTGAAGAATTGGCTCCGTTCTGTCCCCTGACATAGCCCACATAAATAAATCACATCTCAAAGATACATCGCCACACGCAGACACAAGCAGATGAATAGCAACACCGTCAACCTCGCACATCTTACAACCATTTGTCACTTTGATATGTGCATCACGTCCACAATGGTGGGACGCAGAGACCACCGAGGTTCACTCCACATTATTACTTAACGACTGCGATGGCTCTAAAAGGCCTTCGAGGGATGGCCGCTGCTCTTCTCCGTCTGTTATTTATAGATGTGTCTCAGGCGTGTTTTGTTTTAAGTGAAGGGGCGTGTCTACCTCAAAAAAATAACAACAACCACCATTCTTTCAAAAGCAGCAATTTCAAAAACACTTGTCAGTCACAGACCTATCATTTTGTTCTTTTTTTCAATCAGTTTGTGAACTGTGGACGCGGAGGGGCAGTAGGAGCACACCGTGCTACAGATGGTGTGCGGTTGACTTGGCACAGCTGGCTCCCAGTGGCGCCTTGAATCTAAAACCAGAACAGGGTGATTGAGTTTTCTATGCACATCATTTGTCAGGTCCCCATAGTCAGTTTGCAGAGTCAAGTAGTTAAACACTCACAAGCTGCATTATTGAATTGTGCCTTTTGTTCCACTTCCTGTGAGCTGTCCCGTGAATAGTAAGTTTGGGGGAGTGGATAATTATATATTGGGGATTAAGCGGATGGCACATAACGCTGAAAGGTGGAGGAGGTATAAGTATCTTTAATTAAAATGGTATCTTCAGGCTTATATATTTCATTTCTTGTATTAGCACAGTTGGAAATGACGCATACAGTATATTAATGCAACAAGGTAGAAGTTACCGTAACATAAGAAACTGCCACATTCGGAGTCTTTGAATCCTATACTTCAATTAATAATAAATTGAACACATTCTCGGTTAACAATTGCTATTGTCTCCTACTCGGTAATGATGCCGAGGTTGGTATCGTGACAGCTGTTCCGGCAGGCGTCGGCTTCTGTCACCTTTCTTGTTTACCAAGAGCCAGAGAATACACCTGATCATTAAATCCAGAGCGACCCGTTGCCGAGTTCTTGGCAGACACGGCTCACTCTGTTTCTCGGCCTCTGTTAGGGTCTGCGTTAGGTTTCTCCCTAGTGTGTAGTGGAGTTAATAGGGAGACTCCTCGAGTCTCGGTGAAGCGACACCAGTCGGAAGAACAACCGAAGGAAGCCGGGTTTTTACACCTTCCACTAGGTGCAAATAGAGCAAGAGATGAGATCTCACTGCTGAAGGTGTGAAAGCACGGGGGGGGGGGGGCAGCCGAAGTTTGATTACAGCTAGACAGAAGGGCAGGGTTTCCCATCTCTGTTTTTTCCATTTCCTTCTCTCACTTTCCCCCTCTCAGTCATTCAGGCTCCTTGCCCGGGATGACTGAGAGAGGGAAAGGTTACAGAGGCTGTGCATTCAGCCGAGCTACCCAGAAGCAACGCTGTCTGGTCTTCTGTCTGTAACGCTATGACCTGACAGCTCCATTACAGATGGGTACAAGGCCCAGAGCCTTACTTTTCAGTGACGTGTAGACAAACACTGACAACCTGTCATCCTTTCCTAATCATCTGAGGGTGGGTGGCATGCCTAATTATTAATCCGAGCTCGCCCGACAGCTATTCTTTGCTGCATTGTTTGGATCTACAGAAAGAAACCGCATTAAGAGTGGGATAAAGTATCAACGCAGCAAAAACATAAATTTGTTATTGACAAAATGTGAGAAATAAACGGCTGAGATGAAGGAAGCTACAGAGGCATGCACCTCAAAGAGCAGCACAACTCTCCCATGGACTAATTCTTGTTCTTAGCTCCATTGGTCTGTCAAAGGCAATATCCGTTACGTTCAGCACCGTCATCAGCTGTGCTTCTTGTTGATACATATTACATTTAGGATTGGTATCAGATTTGATGCACCAAATGCAACAAAATGATTCTTATTATTTCGACAAGGATCAAATGATTTGCTCATTATGATGAAGCAGAACTCTTACAACAGTGTAGACGATTAGCCATGATCCAGTTTTGAAGTGTGTTTGCTTAACTGTGCCGTTAGCATTGGCCATATTTAAATGACTAGTTTCACATTTTTGGAAAGACACTATAAGAGTAAGATGAGAAGATTAATACCACTCTTATGTTGTATGGTAAATATGAAGCTACAGCCAGCAGCTGGTTAGCTTAGCTTCTCATAAAGACTGGAAGCATAACAAAATTTGCCTACCGACACCTACACGCAAGTGCTTTAACACTAACTAGAGGTCATTTTCTATTTGCTGTCGTATTTGAAGAATCCGATCCTGAATCAAAGTCAACGATTTTCATTTCTCACCTCAGCAGACCATACGGAGGGGCAGCCTCTTCTTGATCAGCTTGATTAAAGTAAACACGTGTTGGCTGTGAGGCAACTCACGGACAGGAGTATCTATGTTTATCTCCATCCACCCACTTCCTGTATGCCTGACATCTACCAGCTGTACAGGAAGACACACACACACACACACACACACACACACACACACAGATGCCCATGCGGCGCTGCCTATGGCCACCTCCAGATGTTGTGTTAGCATGTGGTCGTCTCGCTGAAGCCAAGTGCAAACTGAGCAGTCCTATGCAGAGGGACACATCAACACATTAACCTGAATAATAGGATAATCATAGCAGTAGATGTGCTCCTGCGTGTGTTCACCATAAACTTCCCCAAACCTTGTTAAACACTATCAAAGCATCGTGAGAATGGACTTCTGATTGGCTTCCACATCTGCTGCAGCGTTGTTGATTTTTTGCAATGCTTCAAGAATTGAGCAATTATTTTAATTGCTCCGTCTTTCAGCTTCCTCGCTTAGGTTATAACCTCAATTGTGTTGTGCTTTTTACAACTGCTTGTTTTCCCCACTAATGTAAAGCAAATTACATTCTACACAATCAGGAAAAAGCTATTTTTCATAGTCTAAATAGACTATCAGCTTTTTATGGTGTGAAGCCGAAAGTGTAGATATGGGCTCTTATTACTTGTTTGGTTAAAATATAAAAAGGTATATTGCAAATAATCACCAATATAAATCACTGCACAATACTGATTATACAAATCTACATTAAATAATGAACTAGCAAAATGGAAGCTTAAATTTGACATTACTTGTTCAAATCCCCAGAAGATGCTGAACTACTCAGTCATATAACCAGGAAACTCTTGGGCTATGAATAAAGATTATTTCTTTTCAATTCGGTGCTAAAACCTTTCCTTCCATGTGCTAAACGAGGTTGCAAGTTGATTAAAAGTTGCTGGAGCGTCTCCTCCTCCAGCCAGGAGCAGAACATCGACTCGCTGCTCCACGCTGGGAGCAAACACTGACACCACGCTTCTGGAGACCCAGGCTGTATTGCTGGGCCCGCTGGAAAGAAGGGAGGCACGGAAGAACCAGAACCAGGACTGTGCGTATTAGACTGTCAGACCCCTGCAGCAGCAAAATGAGTAACTGGTGCTCGGAAACACTACCACTTTCGTACACAGGGACTCGCCAAAATCAACACAAAATGAAAGTTCTTGTAGTAACTTAAACTTGTTATGCCCCCCGATTGGTAAACATAAAAAACAACTCGTCAATTTTGCTTTGATTTTTATAAAAAAAAAAATCTTACGGTATGAACAAATGTGAAAGAAACATCACTTAGTCAAACCTCCTCAGAGTGTCAAATGTCAGCGGAAGTATTTAATCAGATGGAGTTTTGGGGGGGGGGTTGGAGCTGTATTTTCCCAGCAGCAGATGTTCTCAGGCTGTGAGCTGAGTGACACAGGGGTTTGATGTGGAGCCTCAATCCACACCTACTGCAGTGACGGGGAACACGCAGAGGTGTCGCCCTGTCACACCGTCTCTGTGATCCTGCTGGAGGGTAGATGCTGCTACCTTAAGTAACTGTATGCCTTATGTCCTATGTGTCTTATGCACTGCTCTTTTTCTCTTGTTTCCTCTTCCCAGGCACCAGCAATGGGTCTGTACTGGTCTATAACCTGACCAGTGGTCTTCTCCACAAAGAGCTCAGTGTGCACTCCTGTGAAGTCAGGTAAGATTTTTGTTTCTGTGTAGTTCAATGTACAACCAGGCAGAACGTCCCAGTCAATCAGCTCGAGGGGGGGTTGATTTTGAGGCGATTGTTTTTTGGGCTCATTAGAGTTTGCAGAGGCAATTGGCAGTCACATAATTAGAGTGCCTTGTCAGACACACGGTCTCAAGGAGCTGATGAAAATACTGCAGAGATGCCTCAGGACTAACTGAATGTAACAGGAGGGAGCTTAGATGCACTTGAAAAATGGGACCAGCTTTGCATACCGTACAAATCAATTCATCACAACAACTCAATCAATGGCATTACAAGGCCTGTTTTTTACTATGTTTGTGTGTTCATTCGGGGCAGAGAGAAGGAGACGATGTGTTAAATTAGGGATGTCCAATGTTGCAGATCTGCCCAAGGCTGCTGATGTAACACTTAGAAACAGTAAGTGTAGTCTTGTGTTTGTCCAGTTAACAGTGACAAACATACAATCGCTGCCAAGTCAGGATTCATTTGAAAGAAAACCACTTGTTACTGATCTCCACAAAAGGACACCGACATAACTTCTAGATCTTCTTTACTAAGTTCATCTGTGCTCCCTAAACATCGTTCTCACACATTTCAAGTGTAAAGCCCTGTGAGGCAGATTTGTGATTTTTGGGCTTTACAAATATATTGAGTTTTAAAAAAACTATCCAGATCATACGGCGACCTTCTCCATCAATGACCCAATAGAGCAAGCACACAAGCGTTTTCTTTTGACCCCGCTTCCCAGCCGTCGGTCCAGCCTCTTTCTATGGCTCATTCACATGAACGGAGGAAGGGAAATATCTCTGGATTCTTTAAACAACTTTTAGGACCTAATCATTTAAAAATGGGGGAGCAGTCGAAAGTGAGAGTGAAATCTGATTGGAATCACATTTCAAACCTCCTCCAAATGGTGTCTCGTGATGTTTTTTTGCTGTCCAGACTTTCTAAAATCGATCTCAATCGACCAAAATGTCTGCAGGGAAAAAGGCCAATGGATTTCTGGGTGAAATGCATTCTGCATATAAATACCATTTTCCATTGTTACTCAGAACATATTACTTAATGTTTTTATGTTGGGAATCTAAATATTCCTTAAACCTCTGAACACTAAACTATTCCCTGAAGTCTAAGTAGCTACATAATGAACCCGTCAATAACGCATCAAAGGAGCCGTTCAGGGAAAAGCAGAACTCTATATTAGGAAGCTTTCTTTCTCTGTTCATAACCGAGCATTTAAAAATAGAAATTCTAAACACAAGTAGTAATGAACAGTTGCTGATGATCATTTCTAAGAGCTGATGACATAACTGGCACAACATTTAAGAGCTATTGAGTTGTGAAACTCTCCCATACATGTTGAAGCTATTGTAGAGATTCTGTTCAATACTTGTAATGTGTCACGTCATGCCTCCATGCTCAGTCGACTATTATTTAAGTATTTGTTTCTCTGTTGTCTGGATAACAGTTGTTATTGTGTGAAGAATATCTTTGTTCTCTGGGATCACAAAAGGTATTTTCGAAGTGTTACTACAGAGATAAATGAGAAATCCAAGGGAGAGTACATGGTATGCAGTCTCCTATGCCTTCATATGTACTGATACAAAATATTTAAAAAACACCAGCTAACAGGGCCAGAGTACTGATTGGTGCGAGGACCCTATTGAAAGGCAAATTATTATTATTATTATTTATGCAAATGAATCACCGGGATTATAGGTTTATTTGGTTTGTATATCGTAATAGCGACAAAACTGGTCCATTCAAGATACATTGTAGTGATGTGCGACATAAATCTAGATTTGTTTCAGTGTGGTTTTGTTATACATTAAATTGCTTTGTCCTGCTATGCCTCTGCACAATGTATTGGTTAATTATGGTCTGCCTGACGGACCACACTGGAAAGAACGCCGCACCCGCCGTATGAGCTCCCCACGCTGCAACAGCCAAACATCAACAAAGAGCAGGCTGTGCTTCATTAGTTAGTATTCTCCAACGGGCAGCACAAATATTTCACCAGGTTTAATTAAGCACGAGATTGAATCAATTAATGCTGTTAAAAGATTGATTGGGAGCAAACGCCATCCGTTCAAGCAGAGCCAGGCTCTCTTTAATGAGAGAAGTTGGTGTCCGCAAAATGCAGAACTCCAACTAACTTTAATGAGCCATGCAACACAAGCAAGTTTCTTCAAATGTCCGCCTCTGCCTGTGCTTATGGGCATATGTGTGGATTAAAGTGAGCGATCAGGCGTTGGTTTTCTCTGGTTTCCGGTTGTCAGGTTGTCACAGTGAATTTGCGCTTCAGTCCTGACACTCGGCTGTCTCCTCGTCTGCTTGTCATCTCTCACCCAGCACCTACTGAACACCCCTCGTGTTTCACACCCCTGTGTTTTGATATGTCCATTAAAAATAAAGCAAAAAAGTGACAAAATAAAGGAATAACACAACCGTACATTAACCCATTGAACCAGACTGTAACATCAAAGTAGCTCCATCAGATCAGGGCTTTCTCTTGAAAACACCTCCATTAGATGTTCCCTCATCCTGTATGGGCTCTAGAAGAGCACTGCTGGGTTTTTTTTCCCAGTGCTGTGACATACAACATTAAGATCAAAGCTGTGAATTTTCTGTGGTGGAGAGAGCAGAGGTGCTTTATGGAAATGAGCCCAGCATCCCCTGCCCGAGCACAGCCATGCCAAAAGAGGCCTGCCTACTTAGCATCTCATTTACATTTAGTGGGGAAATTGACTAATTAATCATGTGGCTATTTACCATCTCATTACGGTGGAGTTTGTGCTCCCTGAGCTGGGCCCACTTCTCCAAAATATTCATATCTCACACTTGCTGGCTTGATTTGCTGTGAGTTTTTCTCCTTTTTTCTTTTTTTTTTTTTTTTACACCTTCCCAATGGATTTAGAAGTTTTAGGTGACTCATTACAGAATGTAGTGAAGGAATAGTTGACAGCTAGACTGTGTGTATTAGATAGCAATATTATTAATTTAACTAAAATGTGTGTGTGTGTGTGTGTGTGTGTGTGTGTGTGTGTGTGTGTGTGT